CAGACGTAGCACTAACACACTGAGAGGCAACTGACAAGGAGGGGACCCCTCAGGAGGAGAGAGGACTTTGCTGTCTCTGTACCCTCGGCACCGCCTTGAACTTGCGGAGGGTGACATCTGACCACTAAGGTGGACTAGAAACCAGAAAACAATCACCAGCTACATGCCCCTGGAGAACTCCTTTAACCTCTCGGAGACGGACACCTGTGTATAACACTCACAATGCCCATCTCCCCAGTTGGTTCTGACCACCCCATCTAAAGAAGAGCCCCTCCCCTGCCCACCTCCTGTTCCTTCCCATCTCCCAGGCTATGCTCCCCACAGGACTCTTGCTCATTAAGTTGATGGCCAGTCATCCTAGCTTGCTTGGGACTGAGAGGTTCCAGGGCCATGGGACTTTTGATTTAAAACCAGGACAGTTCCAAGCACACCGAGGCCAGGTTTTCTAAGGTTGTGTTCTTTGATTACTGGTGTACTATCTACCTCCTCTACTGGATGGTCAGCTCTCTGAGGGGACAGGCTTCCTGTCTCCTCATGAAGTCTCTAGTGTGGGCTGGGGCCTGCAGACAGAGAGGGAATTAGAGGCTCATACCATGGTTCAGACTGTGGGCAACACCCTCTTTTATTGGCTTTGGACCCTTCTCTGAGATCATTTCCCTTTTTATTACAAGGCAGCAATTTCCTGCTTATCGTGGGAGAAGCCCACAGATGGGTGAGGAGCCCAGGACTTTGTACACCTGTCAAGTGGAGAAAAGGCAGGGAGAGAGGCTGGTTCAAGGAGCAGGCGAGCAGGTTCCCATTGGGCCTCTGGTGGAGGCGGTGGAGCACAAGTCCAGTCCCATAGGTGAGTTCACCTGCCAGTCCAGGTGAGGGGCGGGGTATGCGGGCAGCTCAGCTGGGGCGGCCAGGAAGAGAAAACCACAGGAAACCTCTGGGCCAGGCCAGAGGTGGTAGCTCTAAGGAGCCATCCCAGACCTGTCTGGGTGCCCCCAGTGCCCGGCAGGGCTTGAGGCACTGAGGCAGCAGGACCATGGTGCGGACGAGGCGGCCTGAGCTGTGGGTGCTCTGTGCAGGTGAGTAGGCTTCTTCCCTGTCCTGTGCTCCAGGGTGTGGGGGAAAGTCTCCGAAAGTCTCCCAGGGTGTGGGGGAGGCCCCCAGGGACACAGCTGTGCTCCTGCTGGGCAGAATGACCAGTCCTGTCACTAAGGTGGCAGGTTCTGGTCCAGAACCCAGAATCAGAATGGCTTTCATTCGTATATCAGTAAATAAAATTCCAGCCCATTTCTGGAATGAAGAATTTGTAAATCTCAAAGATCATATTTTCTGATCCCAAATCAGACCAGAGGGTCGGACGCAGGATCTGACCATTGGGAAGAAATGTTTGAAGTTGAGTTTGTTCTGGAAAAGCCAGGATGTGCAGATCTAGACCTGCTCACTACTTGGGATTTTGCCTTTGCCTTAAAACCAGAGAAAAGGGCAATGTTAAGAGTGTTAACATCTGTATCACATATATGGAAACTGAGCAGAAAAACAATTCAACTGACCCAATATCATTCCCAGAGCAAGAGAAGACTCAACCCTTCAACAGCAACAAAACTAAACAGGCCCTTTCCAAAGCCTTCTGCTACTCTGTTCACTGAGAATGCAGAAGATGGGGGCCCCACAAAATAGAAATCAGGCAGCTGTCAATACACAGCTGAGTCTAAGGCAAGCATTACATAGCCAGATGGCTGTGTGGGACCCGTGCAGTTTCTCGGGTTAGGCTTGGCGTTAGGGCCCTGGGCATGGTGGGAAGGAGAATGGAGGAGGGAAGTTGAGAGATGGGGGTTGGGAATTTTATGAGTAGATTTCATTCGGTGTATTTGGCAACACTGAGAAATCCCATCAGCCTGCAATTTAGAAGCTATTGTAGGCTCCAGGGAGCTGGGAAGGAAGGAGGGAGGTGAAGGGTTATAGCGGGAAATATAGGAGTCCCGAGCCTTAGCATGTGGAACCAAGGAGGCTCATCATAGAGGCAAGCCCCAGGACCGCTGGACTCCTGCCCCCCAGGTTGTCCTCCCAGGCCCCTAGCCCCCCACCTTCCCCATCTCTCAACTCCTGGCCGTGGGGCCCTTGGGTGGAGGGCAGCCTGGTGCTAGGGAAGGGCTAGGTAGAGGCTTGGAAATGGATCTGGAAAAGACTGATTCTCTCAGGCTGCCCCAAGCGGGGCCCACCGGGTGGTCCATCTGACTGGGACCCAAGGGCCTGCTCACCAGGTGACAGGGCCTGGTCCATTCCTTCATCCAGACAGCTCTCTACTGAACACATAGTTTGTGCGGGAACTGAAGGTGAGGGTCTGGAATAATCTCAGTCATGAGATCATGAGAGAACCCGGCAGGTCCAGATGGGCATGGGGAGGGGCTGAAAGGAAGCTACCGTCCTGCCGTCCTGCCGTCCTGCTGGGGCTGGGCTAGTGACACCTGCCTTCCCCTCCCCACCCGCTGCAACCCACAAGTGAACAAAAAGAGAGGAGTTTGGCTTAGGAAATAAACCCAAAACATAGAATGAAAAGCTGCCCTAGCTGTGTTGCCTAGAGGGGTCCATTTGCCTCCCCTTTGAGAAGGCATGTGGCCCTGGGTGACTCGTCAGTGGAACCAGTTGTTGGGCTGTGTTCAGATGAAGTGTGTCCCCTGCACCTCCCCTCCTCCCGTCCCCTCACCCGGAGGCCAGAACCTCGTGCCCACCAGCTTTGCTTCCATGCCTTACCCTAGAGCAGGGGTGGGGAACCTTTTTGCTGCCAAGGGCCATTTGGATATTTATAACATCACTCATGGGCCATACAAAATTATCAACTTAAAAATTAGCCTGCTATATTTAGTCAAATATTTAATTAACTCGCCCCTAATGTGATGGCTGGAACTGCTTCTCTTTGGTGAGGCCTTGGGAGGGCCGGACCCAATGATTTTGTGGGACCATACACGGCCCTTGGGCTGGACATTCCCCACCCCTGCGCCTAGAGGATGGGGTAGAGGAGCTCAGGCTCAGTGGCCAGCTCGGGTCCTACGGACAGTTTGCTGAGTAAAAAAGTTTGGGGGAGAAATAGCCATTGCCATGTGCATGTGAGCAGTGAAGGCCTTCAAAGGTCAAACCTAAAAGCAACCACGTGGCCCTCCCCACCATACCTCATGAGGGGACACCAGAGGAAGGAGCAGGGAAGTTAGGGAGGGCTTCTTGGAGGAGGCAGAGCTTGAGTTGGGTTTCAGAGGACCTACTGACCTTTGCCATTCTTCTTTTCTCCACCTGAACTTGCCCAGTCATAACTTAGATTTTGCTATGTCCTGGGCATAGCATCACTGAGCTGATAGAACAGGCCTAGGGCCCCCTCAGACTTTGGGGAGGGAGAAGATACCACATAAGAAAATAATATGGAGGGGACACAAACAGAAGGTAGTGCATTAGAGAATTTAAAAACAAGGCTAACAGTGGCTAACCGTCGGCCTGATAATTCTAAACGTCAGTGACAAATACTTCTCCCTCCTAGGGCTCCCACGCCTCCCACTGCGGCACCCCAGCCATCTCTCTTCCTTAACTGACTTTCGTGTGGGGCAAAGTAGTTCACCCTGATAAGCCTCCATTTCCTAATCTGTGAAACGGGCAGGATAATCTCTGACACGTAAAAATGCACATTGTCCCCCAGAGGTCGTGATAGATATTCAGTGAGTTCGTAGATGTAAAGATCTTGGAAGAGTGCCTGACACACGTGGAGCATTCAGCAAATGCCACTTGTGTGTGCCCAGAGTCAGAGTGGCTGTGGGTGAGCCTGGAGTTATCACCCCTCCCAGAGGCCACTAGAGAAAACGCTCCAACCTGTGCCCAGAACCCAGGCTCCTCCGCTCTGGGAACTGTTTCAGCCACCAGACTCCATGAAAGACTTGGCATGATGAAAGTTTCAACTGTAGGGGAAGAGATTCAGAAAGAGGAACCACCAGGAAAAATGTCCCTGAACAGTGGTGCCCAAGTCACTCAAATCTTTGAAGACATGATCACACACACACACACACACCACACACACACCCCACCTCCCCAGAACTAGAAGAAACCTCCTTGAAGACTAAATGAGAAAAATTTGGGAAAATACTGCTTTACACAGAGAAATAAAGGAACCCGTCATCCCCAAATATTCCAGATAAGAAAATATATTTTTTCTCCCCCATCTAAAAAAATTCAGTAAACCAGTGGATGCCAATCCATGATGGGTGCTGATGGGAACCAAGTCCCCCAGTTCCTGGCCTTTGAGGCTGGTCCGGCTGTTTTAGAATCCTTCCCTTGGGGTCTGTTAGGGCCAGTCAATCCCCCACACCCCCAGCAGGGGAACTTTCCCTAAATACCTTCCACTTGGCCACTCTCAGTGCCTGTGTGACCAACGGGAAGTTGGCATATCTGAGCCCCATGCCTTGGCTCCGTGCAGGCACCTGGCCCACGTGGCGAGGCTTCCAAGGCTCAGCCTCAGCCATGCACATCTGATATCAGAGAATCGCCTATGAGAGTGACCCCGTGCCCACAGCCAGGCTGGTGTCAGTGACAAGTGTGCTTCCATCTGCTCCAAGGCAGTGAGCCCTGAAGCCACTCTAGTCCCCAGGGCCTTGCTTCCGCCTGGAGCCTGCCGAAGCCGGAGCCTGTCAGCCAGTGCTCACAGGGAGGGCTCGGGGCCTGGGGGCTACACAGCTGCAGCGGTGCCGTCAGGATTCAGATCCCTGCCCCGGCCCAGCTTTAGAGGAAGGGTGCCAGGAAAGATCAGGCTGAGAGAGGGGCATGTGCAGAGGGCACAGTGGTGTATGGGGCAGTGGCTGGCGACCCTGGCTGCCCAGGGTCACCCGGGGAGTGGATGGTCAGGCTGCCCCAGACCTTATGAATTGGAACCCTGAGGGACGGAATCTGGGCACCCCTTTGATTTTGAAAGTCACCCAGGCTGTACCGTCCAGGTTTAGGGGTGCAGACTGGAACTTGAGGGAAAGTGGGTTGAAGGAGCAGTCACCTGTTCCCGGGGCAGGTCCTCTGCAGGTGGCTTGCAGCTCAGGTTTGCACGGGCGCCTGTGTTACTGGAGCTGGGTCAGAGTCAGAGTGCTGCAGGGACCATAAAGTGGGGGTAGGGCAGGGGCCCCCACCTGGCCACTCTGGCAGCGCCTGACCACAGAATTTCATTGTGGGAGAGTCTGGGCGGGGGGAGAGCTGATGGCGGGATCTGTCGGAAACCGTCCCGAGGGGACAGTGTGCTGTTTGTACTTGGCCGGGACATGTGCTTGGGGCCATAGTGGGAGGCTCAAGGATATCACGTAGGGGACCACACCCCCCAAACCACCACTGGCTTGTGTCGNGTCGGAAACCGTCCCGAGGGGACAGTGTGCTGTTTGTACTTGGCCGGGACGTGTGCTTGGGGCCATAGTGGGAGGCTCAAGGATATCATGTAGGGGACCACACCCCCCAAACCACCACTGGCTTGTGTCCTTTCTGGAACCCGCCCTGCTTCTCCCCTGCCCTGCCCTCTTCCCCACTCGCCTCTCCTCCCCTTTTCTCCTCGCCCTGGGGCGTCCTCAGGACAGCCCCCCCCTTTCCTCTGTTCCCTCCTGCCATCGAGTGCGTGAGTTTCCACGGAGGTTTGGTTTACTCGGACCCGTGATTATTGCTACCGTGTGACTCAGGAGTGAGTGCTGGCCCCTGCCCGGTGCCCAGCGGCGGCCACTGCGTGGTTGTCACCTGCCCTCAAACCTCCGGGCAGCCAGCTGCTTTTCAGGGCTCCCCTCCTGCCTCTCTCCCCTCCCTGGTCCTCCAGGCAGCCCTGCCTCCTTCCAAGCCTCAATTTCCTAATCCCACTTGCTCCCATCAGAATGTCCCACCCGAGTCCCTTTCTGGGGCTCCATGGGTAAGACAGTTAGGGCAGTGGATTTGTCCTGAGGGTTAAAGGACCCGAGGGTCTCCCCCGCCCCAGATAGACCTGCACCTTAGCAGGAACATCAGCGCAGCCCAGAGGTGCGGATTTCAGACTGTGTGGAGACAGCCATGGTGCTCCCTCCCCTTGGCCACCCAGTGCCCTTTGAGCTGCTTTCTGGTTTTCTGCCCTGGTGAGTCAGGGTGCCATAAACAGCGGGCAGGACGTGGCTACCAACAGGCACCCACCCAGGCCTGTTACAGAGTCCACCGGGACAGCATGGAGTGCGGGGTGGGGCCCGCCAGCTCACCGCCCGCACCTGCCCCTAGGGGCACAGGTGACGGGGTCCTGAGCAAGACTCATCCTCCAGGATCCCCGACCCTCCTCCCACCCAGGCTGGGGTCTTTATCTTCTGTCCCAGTGGGGACCAGAGACACCTCACGCTTGGTGGCCCTCTGGCTCCAGCTGGCTCCTCTCCCTGCGACAGGCCAGCTCGGACTTACCGGAACCGTTGTGGTTCCCAGAGCACCCCATGCTTGTTGCAGGAAGTTCAGAAACTAAAAATGAACAGAGAAGAAACCCCTGATTGCCCCATGACCCCAGAATCCAGCGACAGCTGTTACCATCCTGCATTCGGGTCTGCTTTCTTCTAGAACCTGCTTTCTCTCTGCAGTGATGGAGAAGGGGGGGTGGCTGTGTAGACGGTCACGCATCCTGATTCAGTCCCTCGTATACACACCGTCAGCCTTGTGGACTGAATCCCTTGGGAGCTCCTTCAGGTCCCAGCCCCGCAGGCAGCCTTTCCCCGACAATCCTGGACCACACAGCCCCTGCCTCTCCCCACACCTCACTCCCTGGCACCTGCACTGAATGAACAATCGGGCTCTATTAGGAGGCTGGCTGGCAGTGACCTCTGACTGCTTCTGGGAAGGGACTGTGCCTTAACCACTCAACCGACAGGGTCGTATTAGCACCCAGCTCTGTGTAGAGAGCTCAGGGTGGGAAGGAGCACAGACCTGGTGAGGGGGCCTGCACCCACCCACCCTCATCAACATGAGAATAGTGTGTGGGGAATAGACATCTGCCTGAGGCGGTTCCGAAAAGCCAGCAAAGAAAATGAAAACACTACCTCAAAAAGACACCTGCACCCCCATCAACGCAGCATCCTTCACAGTAGCCAAGATGTGGAGGCAGCACAGGAGTCCACAGACAGATGGCTGGATAGAGAAGATGTGGTGCACACACACAACGGAACATTACTCAGCCACGAAAAGGAGGGAAACCTGCCATTTGTGACAATGGACCTCCAGGGCATTACGCTAAGTGAAATGTCAGACAGAGGAAGACAACTACTGCCTGATTTCACTTACATGGGAAATCTAAAACAAACAAAAACGTCCCCAAACAAAACAAAAACAGACTCATAGAATCAGAAATTAAACTGATGGTTGCCAGGGGGGAGGGTGTGGGGAAGTGGAAAAGGTGACAGTCAGTGATATTGTGGTAACTGCACGGTGACCGATGGTTACCAGACTTAGTGTGGCCATCACATTGTAAGGCATATAAATTTCAAATCATTATCCTGTGTACCTGAAACTAATGTAATGTCATGTGCCAGCTATACTTAAAGAAAGAAATAAAATAAAAGCCAGTGCAGTAAGGGCTGGGATGTTCCCTGTGGGTTCCTGGAGGAGCTGGGGCATGAACAAGCCTGTGACCGTTTTCCCAGTGCCTTGCACTAAACTAGGCCGTAGGGAAAAATCGTTGAATTGATTGGCATTTGCAGATTCCTAAGATCCATGTTGAACAAAAAGTTCAACAAACATTCATTGATTTCTAACCCCCTCCTCCCCCAGGTGCCAGCTGGAGAGCCTACAGAGGCCATTCTTGGGGGGGGGCAGGGAAAACCCACGTGCGAGCGTGAGGTGCCGCTCAGAGACCAGCCCTTTCTCAATGCCAGCGCACACGTCCAGGCCCGCGGCCTCCAGCATCCAGCTCCTCCCTCACCGAGACGGCGGCTCCTCGGAGCAGATGGCTTTCCCTGAGCGGAGGCGTTACTGCCAGGGTCCCTAGGGTTCCCCCGATGCTGTGTGCCTCCAGCAGCCAGTCCATCAAGCATTTCATTATACTCCTCGATGGATTGCTTTCCGTGAGCTCTCAAGAGACCGTTTATCATCTTAACAAACCTTAATTATTTACAAGCAGTCGTCCAGGTTTCAGGCGGGGTCTCCGTGGCCCCCCCTTAGGGAGGTTAAATAACTTCCCCGGTTCCATCTGGGACACTTTGAAGACTTGGCTTCCCTAGCGGGGCTCCTTGGGGCTCCTTTACTTGATTATTTCATTTTATTTTTATTTTCCAGCAATCTGTGGGATAGGGTCTTCAACCAAGTGTCTCCGGCTACGGACCCCACCCGTGCCGTGAGCTTGAATTCTCTGTAACTCATTCATTTGCTAGAGCAGAGTCTATGTGGGCGGCAGTTGGTCGAAGCCCGGGGTGTAAAGATGAAAGGAACCCAGCCCGTCGGGGAGGAAGGCGAGAACTTGGGAGGCTGGGGCCTGCTTATGTCCGGGGAAAGGTGTGTACACTAAACGTATTGTCGTTCAGCCCCCACAGCATCCTGGAGTTGGTGCTATCTGCATCATAAATTTGTTTATTTATTGATTTTGAGAGGGAGAGAAACATTGATCTGTTGTCCCATTTATTGACACGTCATTGGTTGCTTCTCGTATGGACCCTGACTGGGGATTGAACCTGCAACCTTGGTGTGTCAGGACGACGCTCTAGCCCACTGAGCTACCCGGCCAGGGCTCCTCATTTTATAGTTGAGGACACTGAGGCACAGAGAAGTTAGTTAAGTTGCTCCAGGTCACACAGCTGATGAGTCAGAATGAGGTGCCACCCTGGGCAGCCGGGCTCCGGCATTTGGGCTCCGGGCCACCCTCCGTGTGGTGTGATAACCCTTCATGAGAGGGAAGTTCAGGAGGCAGGTGCTCACGGGTCGTAGGTGGCACAAAGGACAGTCATCCGCTCTGCTTGGGGGAATTGGACATTTTCTCTAGGGCAATGTTTGAGCTCAAAGCACCTTCCTCCGCCAAGGACACAGTGCAGGGAGGTGCTGACCCTTCCTGCAGGTGGAGCACCTGCTCTTCCATCTGTACCCCGCCCCCCAGGAAGGCTGGCAGTCACTGAGCCATCAGTCCTTGACACCCCTGGCGAATCAGCGTCAGGGGGACCAGCGAGGAGCCCGGGTAGAGAAGGAGCCCCTGGGAGTGAGGGGGCGGAGGCTCTGGGGCGGGAGGGCAAGCTCTAGGGAGGGAAACGGGCCAACTCCGGGGGGCGGGCAACAGGGAGGAGGGTGCCCGATGCACCTGTGCAAGGAAGTGGGAAGGGGGGTCATTGGAAGGCTCTAGAAATTTCTAGAAGTTCTCCACTTCCTAGTTTTCTAAACACAGGTTGAATGTCCCACCCGGGGCCCCCCACCGAGGAGGGATGAACAGTGCTCCGCCTTTGCCCAGGGCTCCCCTTTTCCTTACGAGCTCTTTCTCAGACGCTCCTTTCCGGCTTTCCCCTCGCGACTCTAGGCACGTGAAGTGACTTTAGCTCGCTGTCGCAATGGCCTCCCAAACGGGTCGGTTCTTGAGTCCCAGCCTCTAGCGATTGCTCCCGCTTCCTGGGAGTTCCCGGGGTGCTGGTGGGTGGTTACCGCGCGTGATTCGCTTTGTCATAACCAGGCAGGCGCCTCAGAACGGGCCCCGGGGTAGGGCCGCGGAAGTGAGCCCGCAGGACAAAGGTGCACATGGTGCAGCTGGCAGTTGCTGGGCGCTGCGGGTAAGGAGCCGCACTGAGCACAGTGCCTCCCGCGTCGGCCGCCTCCTCACAGCCCTGCCAGGGAGGACCGGGCAGGGAGCTTGGCGCGGCGCTCAGGGCCCTGTGCTCAGCACACAAAGGAGCGATGCTACTTCCCCCAATGGCCACAGAGAAGGTGTGTGGCCTGGCCGGGTGTGGCTCAGCGGTTGAGCATCGATCTAGGATCCAGGCAACCGGGGTTCGATTTCTGGTCAGGGCACGTGCCCGGGTTGCAGGCTGCAGCCGATCAATGACTCTCTCATCATTGATGTTTCTATCTCTCTCTCTTCCTCTCCTTTCCTCTCCCTGAAATCAATAAAGATATATATATAAAAAAAAGTTTAAAAAAAAAAAGAGAGAAGTTGTGTGATAAATGTGGAGACCCACAGAAATGGGACTGAAAGTATCGAAGGGACGTTTCTGAATCGGAAGAGAGTTGGGGTGAGGAAAGGACAGTGGGAGGAGGTGGGCTGAGGCTCGAAGCCAGGGTTGTCTGGGTGCTGCAGGGAGGGGTGGGGAGCGCCGAGATCCCCTGCTGGTCCTCACCCAGGCCCTCACGTGCCCTGTGTCAGCTGCGGTTGTGCTTGGGGGGGTCCGGGGGGTGGGGGGATGTCACTGGCATTCCTGCAGAGGTCCTCTGGGTGTGCCCATGTCCCTCACTTCTCCCCCCCCCACTTCCTTTCCAGTCTGGGTGACTGTCGCTGCCATCTCGGTGGAAACCCCGCCGGAACTCATCCGGGCTGCCCGAGGCAGGAGCGTCACCCTTCCCTGCATGTACCGCACTTCTGCCCATGACCGGAATGGGTTCATCCAATGGGACAAGCTTCTGCGGAGCCACACGGTAAGGCTCCTCAGCAAGAGGGAGCCCCACGGGGACCGGCACAGGGAGGAGGGGGCAGGATTAGGGTTTGCGTTGGGGCAGACCTGATCTCAGTGGACTCCATGTTCTGTTTGATAACTGGTGAGTAAATCAGTGAATAAATAAGCTCCAAAGGCAAGATTCAAGTCAACCAAGTGGCTTGGGAGCTCAGGGTGGCTGCCTAGCACCATGCCTGGCATGTAGTAGGAGCTCAATAAATACTGGCTGACCAGACGGGTGAGAACAGACAATGGGCTGAAACGGGACGAGTAAGAGATGCTGGAGGCGACAGGAGGTGACTGTGCAGGGGTCTGAGGAAACCCCATTTGTTCGCATGTGCTCCCGCGGTGGGAACTGTCTACCGGCCCCAGTCTTTCCATATTGTTGTTAAACACGGGTAGGCGTTGTAAGAAGGAGCCACACAGGAGAGCTGTTTGTTCTGGGGGCTGTTTGTTTCTGGAGGAAGGGCCGTGCTGGGGCCTTAGGGTGGAGACCAAGTGGCATTTCTCCTTCCTCCCAGGAAAAGGTGCTCATCTGGAGATTTTCAACCCAAGACTACGTCTACGGTGACCTTTATAAGAACCGTGTCAACGTGTCGGGCAATGCTGAGCAGTCCGACGCCTCCATCACCATTGGCCAGCTGACCATGGATGACAATGGCACCTACGAGTGCTCAGTCTCGCTGCTCACAGACCTGGAGGGCACCTCCAAGGCACGCGTCCGCCTCCTGGTCCTGGGTGAGTGTCCCCACCTCCTTCCGGGTGGTAGGAAGCAGGTGCGGCGGGAGGGCTCGGAGGACGAGTCCTGGGGTAGGACAGAGCCAGAAGCAGCAGTGCCTGACCGGGCCTACGACTCCTCGGTCATACCTCAGTCTGGGGCGGGGCTGCGCCTCCCCGGAGCTGCAGTCCGGAGCTCTCCAGGAGAGGGAAGCTCCTCGGGGCAGAGGGCAGGGCCCATTTGGGGTGTAACCGGGGGTCTGCCTGGGAGATCCTGTCCATGCTCTGCCCACTGCCCTTCCTGGACACCTCTCCTCTTTTTTTCTTTTTAAATCTTCTTTAAACATAACTCAAGGATATGTTCATCGATTTTCAGAGAGAGCGAGAAAGGGAGAGGGAGAGAGAAACATTGGTGGGTTGCCTCCCACACATGCCCCAGTCAAACCTGCCACCTTCCCGGTGCACGGGACAATGCTCCACCCAACTGAGCCACCCGGCCAGGGCAGCACCTTTCCTGTTTTTCATGCCAAACTTTCTAAGGAGAAGAAAAGGGAGCCCAAGGTCCTGTTATAAAGGCACTCGCTGTGCCCTACTCCCCTACTGAGGGCCCGTCGAGACTGTCCTTCCCTGTCATAAATCCAGCTAACCAGCAGCAACCCTCACACCAGCTCCCACCCCTGCACCCCAACAACACACGGTCGGTCAGGTCTACTGCCTTTGAAATACGTCCCAAGAGACCAGTCTTTTCATACAAATAACTTCTTATTGGAGGTTACAGTTCTGAAAGCACCTGAATGACCGTCTGCATGGATACCTTCATCCTGTAGGTGAGGCCCAGAGAACGCAAGCACCCGGCTCAAAGTCAAAGTGACTGAGAGCTTCGGTGAGCACCTGCCCTCCCACCAGCCTGGGGAACGGCCTGCACCCTGCAAGGGAGCAGCCCTTTCAACCGAAACGATGCCTCCTTGTGCCTTTGTTTTTCCCCTTTACACTACTTAGTGGGGTTTAATTTTTCATTACATAAGGCGGCTGCCTGGCTTTTAGAAGCATTGTAGTGAGTTAAACAGAACCCTGAATGAAGAGTGACTGTCTCCCCTTTCCACGCACCTCCCAACAAGGCGGCCAGTGGTAGAGCTGGGTGTCCTCCACACTTCTCCCCATGTCCTCTCAACACACACGTGCGCACACACACCACACACGTGAGTGTGCATACACACACACTTTTCCTTTTCCTTTCTTTCTGTTCCTTTAAAAAGAGAGAGATCACATTACAAAGACCACTCTGTGATGTTCTTTTCTTGNTGCGCACACACACCACACACGTGAGTGTGCATACACACACACTTTTCCTTTTCCTTTCTTTCTGTTCCTTTAAAAAGAGAGAGATCACATTACAAAGACCACTCTGCGATGTTCTTTTCTCCATGCTTCATGCACATTTCTCCAGATTTACGTATGACTCCCTGGTAACAGCAGGGGTCCCGTTGCGTGGATGCACTGATTTATCCAAGCGGTCCATGCTCACAGCCAGCCTCAGGCTATCTCCATATTGTTCTGTACGAACAATACTGACATAAAAATAGATATTCTTTCACAGTGTTGTTTTTATTTCTTTTGGCTAGATTATTAAAAGTAGGATCAGTGTTAACCACACCAGCTAGTTTCCCCAAAGCAACTTAAACCACCATTGGCGTGCTCTGAGCAGGCCGGTCTTCCCACAGCCTTGCCAGTACTGAATGTTGTCAGCCTGTTTAATTTGTGTAAATGTTGGTAATTTGCTAGGTGAAAAAATTCAGTTCAGTCTACATCGCATTTTAATCTGACATCAGTAAGCTGCACCCACCTCCTTCCCCTACCTCCTTCCCCTTCCCTCCTTCCCAAGCTAGAGCCTGACTCCCTGAGGCTGGGAAATGGGGGGCGTGGCTCGCTGTCCTCACTCTCCTTAGCCCCCCTCCTCCCCCCATTTCTGGATCTTCTGAGGTAAGGACCCGAGGGGGTGTTAAGGGGGAGGCACAGGCCCCTGCACTCTCTTGGCCAACAGAGTCGCCATCTCTCCATATTTACCTAACCTTCAGCGCACCCTCCCCTGCACTCTAGAGCAGACGTCAGCTCGCCTGTTATGTTGGATCCCCCATGGCATTAACCTGTGCTCTGTCCCTCTTGCACCCACACCAGCCACAGAAGGTGGGGGACAGAGCAGGCCCGCCTGGACGTGCCCACTGTGTTTTCCTCCCTGGCTCCATGGAATGGGGGGCTGCCTCTCTCTGGAGGACCCCGAGCGCAGGGAAGGTTGTTAGCATGGAGCTTATTTCTGTTCAGCTTTCCCGTTCATCCACTATGGCAGCGTCAGTCCAAACACAAACAAGCAGCCGTGTTGGTGATTCTCACCCCTTTAAAAATACTGCTTTTAAAAAATAAGAAACTGAAAAAGACAAGCACCCACCTATGTGCCTAGGCATGTGTTCACCTCTCCCAGCCCTGTGCATGTGCTTACTCAGCGCCCACCTGAGCTTGTGGCCTAACCGGCCCGCACTTTCCTTTTTCATCCCGTGGCACCCAGCACCTCCTGCTGATGGGAGTGCCATGTCCCTGGACTGCTCCGGCAGTCTCCAACCAGACCTATTACAAATAACGTCACAAGGCATTGTGCTTGCATAGCACTTAATTTTATATTTGCATTAGCTCTTTGGAGAGAGGTTACCCAGCCAAGAAAAGGAGCGTTTTCCTTCAGTTTCTCTTCTGCTCCCCTCCCCCCATTCTCTCAGTGCCCATGTTCCCCCAGCTGAGTCCCTCACTTCCCACCTGATCTTTCTCTGCCTAATTCTCGCTCCTTCTGGCTCCCTTTTAACTACTCCTGTCTTCCTGCAAGGAGCTGGTTGGGGAAGGCAGCGGATCCCACCCCCCAGAGCCACTGCATTTTAGTTAACTTGAAGAGTGAGGGGGCCTTGCTTAATCTGAGGTTATGGAACTCGGTGAAAACCAAGCTTTGCTTTAAAAAAGAGGGACAGAGATCATTCTGTGCTATGTGTTAAGAAATCCTGCAAATTCACTTAAAAAAAATAAAGTTTTCTTTCCAAAAGGTTCTCCTGAGGGACTTTTATGCATAAAAGCTTTAATTATGCGGCGCCGCCCTGGGCGAGGCGGGGCACGGGTCCTGGTCACTGCCCGGAGGCCGCCTGGCCCTGGGACACCTGCGCTGCGCCCTCCGGACCAGCCGCCTCCGGCCTCTAGCGCCCCCTGGTGTCCAAAGACGGAATCGCAGGCTCTGCCGCGGCCTGGAGCCCACCTACCTCCCGTCTGGGAGGGAGGCCCAGCCCACCGAGGTCTGAGGTCTTGGGGGCTCCCCACAGCAGGTGTAAGGGCTGCTGGGCTAGAGGGGCCAGGCCGGTCCTGAACAGCTCCCCCAGAACTGTGGGGCGGGCTGGGGGTCAGCAGAGACCGGAGTTCACTCTGCATGTGCAGTGACCCCGCACCTGTGGGGTCTGGACTGCGATGGGCCGCACTCTACTGGGGCATGTAAAGAAAGAAGCGGAGGGGGCTGGCCTGCCACCCACGGCTTCCAGTATAGCCCTGTCCCCTGTGGGACCTCCCTGCCCAGCCCCAAGGACACCACCTGAAGTCTCAGGCACACCTGTCCCTTTGCCGGGAGGGCCCACCTCTCCCTGACCACCACCGCCTGCACTGTGGCCTCCTTCACTGCCCCCTTCCAGTGGCAGCCTGTGCTGTGACTGCCTGTCCCCTGCCCGCTCACTGTCCAATCACTTGTGTTGTGCCCACTGGACTCCTTGAACACAGGGACTCACTCGCTGTGTCACCCCAGTCCCCAGCAGTGTCATGCGTGCAGTAGGTGCCTAATAAGGTCTGTAGAATGAACCGCACTATACGTTTGTGCGGATGGTGCTGAATGGGGGGCCTGGCTGGAGGTCTGCAGGAATTCCAGGTTAGGTATGAGCTGCGGGCTGACGGTTTCTGTACCCTCCTTTCTGTGGGCTCCCCTGTCCTGACCTCTGTCCCTCTGTCCCCTCCCAGCCCTCTGGTCCTCATTTCCTGCCCAGCACTCACGCTGCTGCTGGGGGTCTCTCCTATCCCCTGGCTACTCTGGACAACTGTGTTTTATCAGCAAAGCCGGGGAGGAGGGCAGCGCCTAACCCAAAGTGAGCACTCCCGAGGCAGGGGCGCCGAGGTGAAGGGCTGGAGAGAGCAGGGCTTCCATTCGCCCCAGGGGTAGGCAAACCGTGCCCAGGCCAGCGCAGCCTCTTATGTGGCCTGTGGGCTAAGAACAGTTTCTACATTTCTGAAGGGTGATTTACGAAGCAGTGACAGAGACCGTGATGTGGCCCTTCACAGAAGAAGTCTGCTGTCTCCTCACGTGACAGGCTGAGAAGAACCTAAAATGGCACAGCTGAGTCACTGGAGGGATGGCTGGTGGGGAGCCCCCTGGACCTGGGTCCGAAGGCCAGGTTCCAGCCCCAGCCCTGTGAGACGGTGCCCAGCCCCCTCTCTGGGCCTCCGTATCCCGGTCTTGATAAGGGTGATGGCTCTACACCGGCCATGGGGATGCTTCCCACTGCGAGAGCTGCCTCTCTGATGGGGACAGGCCGTGGGGAGGCGTTTCAGGGGGACTGACCTTCTAGTGTTAAATCTCACGTATAGGCTGTGCATTTCTCTGCCTGAGAACAAACAAGGCAGATGTGTGTGTTTGGGGTGGGAGCTGGCTGTCACCACGCCCCACCTGATTCATGCCTTCTCTTCGACCCCTCCCCTTCAGTGCCGCCCTCCAAACCAGACTGCGGCATCAAGGGCGAGACGGTGATTGGGAACGACATCCAGCTGACCTGCGAGTCAAAGGAGGGCTCCCCGACCCCTCAGTACAGTTGGAAGAGCTACAACCTGCTGAACCAAGAGCGGAAAGTCCCACCAGGTAACCACATCAAGGGGCAGCTGATTGGCAGGCTGCCAGGGGAGACTGTCTCGCTCCCGCCTGCAGCTGGCACTGCTATGCTCCAGTCATCTCTCTGAGCACCGATCTCTCATAACAGTACCTGCCTACCCCACAGGTTGCTGTGAGCGACAACAGTGATTTCACGCGAAGCACTTAGTGGAAGCACATACTGTGAGCTTCCTGGGTGTCCCGGTGCCCGGGGACTCAGTTCTCTGGAATAAGCGTCTATCATCGTCACTCTGTGTGAAAGCCCTGGGACCTCAGCTTTGATTACGATTATGTCCTAAAGGACATATTTGAGGCCCCAAGTCCAACTCTGGCTCTACTCAGACTCCCCTGAACCCTACCTCCCCAAACATGCCCCCTTTTATGGCCACACACCTCCAGATGAGGGCTGCGGTGGGGACCTATTCTCAGGGACTCAGGGACAGGATGCGAGTTTCACTTTTGGTTGCCAGGAGACTGATTGTGTCCTGGGCAGCTTGGTATTTGACCTTTTGGTCAGGAAGCAAACTGAAAAAACAAAAAAACCAAAAACCATATAAATATCCTCCTGTTACTGTGGAGCCCACTGGTGTGGGCTCACCCCACCGGGAGCCCTGGCCCCCGTGCCCACGGCTGCCTGGCCAGCTGCACCCAGAGTTCCGGAGGTTAAGAAGGCAAGGCTGAGAGGCGCCCTTGGTCTAAGTGGTGGGGGTCTCCAGCTCAGTGGGGTGGGAAGAAGGGGAGGGGTGCGGAAGGCCGGGAGGGGCCTGGTCAGGTCCCCAGGAGCCCCGTGAGTGACCGCTAGCTGGGGCTTCCATCAGACCAAGGTGAGTTTGCCATTGTACCCTTCCCTCGTTTGGGGGCTAAACAAGAACTTCTTAAAAGGAAAAAAAAAAAAGAATTGCTGGAACCCACTCGATCTAATGAAAAACAGAAGATGTGTGGATTTCAACAAGCTTCCAGTTTGGGTCCATATTTCCGGTTGGCAGCTTTGTACTGAGTGTGCCTGGAGCTCGGCTGACACCACCTGGCAGCCCCCCTCTGGCCCGTGAACAGTGCCTCGGGCGGTGGTCACCACAGCCTGCCATGGGCACTGGTCGGTCTGCCCTTCCTGCAGCCAAGTGTGCACAGTGGGGTCCAATGCTACAACAGTTTACACCCAGTGGCGCTGTAGCCCAGAGGACGCAGGGGATCAAAGATCGTGTCTCTGAGGGGGGACTGGAGCAGGCCGCACAGCATGGTGCGTGGCATGGGCTCTAATCTGGGCTCAGCCCCTTGTCTGCTATGTGACCTTGGCAGGTGACTCAGCCTCTCTGTGCTGTAGTTTCTCCAGAAAACATGGGCATAAAACTGGTACTTACTTCATAGGGTTGTTGTGAAGATTAAACAAAAGCACACGGGACGCACTGAGGCCAGTGCCTGGCAGATAGTAAGCACTCGGTCAGTGCTGTTCTGTGAGCTGGACCCTGAGGATCCTGAGGATGTTCTGTGAGCTGGATCCAGGCATGTGGACAGCACAGGGGTCCAGAGCATTGGGAGTGGCTGAGGAGAAGAAACGTGCCCATGGAGGAGGGGAGTGGGGAGCGTGTGCGCGAGGGGGAGGGGGAGTGGGGAACGTGTGCCCAAGGAAGGACCAGGAAGCCCTGAGAAGGCCAGGAGCCTGTGCCCTGGGTGGGGAGGCTGGCCTGGGCCTAGAGGCCACGGGCTCCTTGTGGCCAGCACTCCATTTGTGGTTCCCCCGCCTCCAACAGGAAAGACTCAGCTGTTGTCAGAGCCCAAAACCTCATTTTTTCAGTAATCCAAAAGGGGAGACACCTGAGGACACAGAAGGAGTTAAAGGAAATCCACTTACCTACTTTGGAAAAGCTTCATCCTGCCTGAGTTAAGACTTGCTCAGTCGGCCTGGGCATCGGGGAGTGACGGGCAGAGTGGGCTACCCTGGCACGAGGGTGCGGGCGGGGCTCCACCCTGCCTCACAGAGCCCTAGGAGCCCGTTGTGTCTGCTTCCTCTGGGGTCATGGGGAACCCATTCCTCACTTTTAAAGCATCTCAGGCCACAGTGGGTGACTTGGAGAGCAGGGCTCCTCCTGCACCGGAGGGCAGAACCCCCACATTGGAGATGCCCCCTCTGACCCAGCAGTCAGTGGGAACAAGCCAGCAGAGAGGACAGGGAATCTGAATCAGCGCACAGGGATTGAGGGCTGACTTCTCCACTAGCCTCTGACCCTTAGTATCTTCATCCGAAACGCTGGGAAGATCATTACCCTGCCC